CATGATAGTGATGAAGATGGTCCTTAAGGGAGGAGTGGGGATTTGGGAAAGGAAGAGAGAGGAATTTAGGTGCTCGCTTCTAAAATCTTGGTTTTGAACTCTACCTCAAATGAGCAGGGGCTTCCCTGTGGCTCAGCTAGTAAAGAATCCGCCTGCAATACGGGAGACCTGGGTTTGATCCCTGGGTTAAGATCTCCTGGAGAAGGGAAAGGCTGCCCACTCCAATATTCTGGCCTGGAGAATTCCATGGACTGTATAGTCCGTGGGGCTGCAGAGTTGGACATGACTGAGCGACTTCACTCACACAAGCAGACGTCTGTCCCCCAGCACTTCTAAATGTACCCTAAGAAGCATTTCTTTTTGTGGGTCCCGAAACCTTCGATGGGCTTTCAAAGAGATGAAGCAATTGTCAAAAGATAATTGGGAAGCACTGCTCTGACTGTTTAGCAAAGCTTGGCCAGAAATCTTCAGGCTTTGGCAGACTGGGAGGACAAGGTTAAATCCTCAGGAGAGGGGTTCCTCTTCTGATAACTAAATGCAAGGTGTTGACCTTGTTTGGATCCTGATTTGTGAAACCATCTGTAAAAGTCCACTTGTAAGACAAATGAGATAATTAAACCTTGGCTCAGTATTTGATGATATTAAAAACTATTAATACTATTGATTTTTTATGTGATAATGGAATTATGATTATGCTTTTTAAAGATCCTTTATCTTTTGGAAATATACTCTGAAATATTTAGAGGTGAAACAATATGATATGTGGAATTTACCTCAGTTATGGAATGGGGGTTTGGAGAGTGGGGAAGGCTGAAACAATATTGGCTATAAATTGATAATGGTTGATTCTGAATGACAGGCTCATGGGAGTTCATTGCACTTTAGTATATGCTTGAAATTTTCAGTAATGAAATTCCTCACATAACATTCCTTGCTCTCAATAGACAAGGTAATACTACCTTAGACTTATTTAACATGTCCAGTATAACTTTACATCAAATAACTCTTTGATCCCTACAATAACCCTGTTGGGCAGTTAGAAACTTTTGCTGATGAGAAAATAGAAAAGGACAAAGGTCCATAGAAGCCTTGGACTTGGAGAAAAGATCTTTCCCCTCGCTCCTGAGTTTAGGCAGCATAGAAGCCACCTTCCTCGTGTCATGCAATGCAAGTACACCCTTGGCTCATTTTCTCAATGTTCAGCTGCTGAGCATCTGCTATTTGTCACACTTTCATGGGGCTGCCAGAAAGAACAGACATATTCCCCGCTTCAAGTTCCTCAGATACTTTCCAAAATCAGATGTAATATTTCTCCCTCAATCTCGAGGTCCTTTAGCTGGAAACTGTAAACTAAGGAGGTAGAAACCACAAGTGGGGAATACACCACTGCCCTGATAACACCCAAGAGCTTTCCAGCCCATCCATGAAGACGATCACAAGACAGGATTCCTGGTGACTCAGATCCCCGCAACTCCTGTTCTTCCCTCTGGGGAAAGAGCCAGCCCAGCAGGGAACCCCAGCCTGGGGCTAGAGCATCTTCCCATAACCTTTGCTGCAGGCCCCCAAAGAAGGCTGAGCACCCCCTAAGCCTGCCCCTGTCTACAGCCAGAAGAGCCAGGATCTGAGACCAGGCAACCTGACAGGCAGCTGCCTCCCATTGCAATGGTGCCGGCTCCCCCGTCAGCCACTCTCCCTTCCCTCAGATGCTGGGCTCTCCCCTTCCTCAGCTAGGCGTCCTCCCACAACGCCACAGGTGTCTCTTCCTCAGACACCTTCCTGTCAGCCAGGCATTTTTTATGGTACCTCCTCAGCATTGTGTCTCAAGCGATCCCCATCCTTTCTTCTCCCATGGGGCTGAAACAACCACTGCCGAGGTCGCTAGGGACGAGACTCTGCAGAGGACCCATCCACAATGGGCTGAATGCTGAGGCGGCCACTTTCCAGGTTCTGTCCTCCGCAGTTTTCTTCCCCCGCTCTAGCCCTCCTGGTTGTACCCTTTCCCCTTCCTCCCTCAGGCTGCCCAAGGATTTCAATGGCCTGGCTCCTCAGGACTCACTCCAGAAGACCCTCCCCAACTGGAGGCCTCTGCCCCTCTTCTCGTCCATGCTGGTCTCTTCCTTCAACTTAGCCTGGGCCAACTCGTTGCATAGGGACAGCCATACCCAAGTCAGTCCCCTTCCCCTAGCTGTTCTTGTTTCTCTTCCTGGATCCTGCATTTTGTTAATTTTTACTTTTTAGCTGTGCTACATGGCACATGGGTTCTTAGTTCCCCACCAAGGTTTGAACCCGTGCTCCCTGCATTAGAAGCACAAAGTCTTAACCACTGGACCACCAGGGAAGTCCCCTGGATCCTGCATTTCAAATTTGAGGAGGGTTTATTGAGCATTTATTATATGCTAGGAACTGTGCTAAATACTTACGTGCCTTATTACATTTAATGTGCCAAACAATCAGGCGAGGACTATTAGAGAGGTTACCAAGTTTCCTGGGGTGGTAGAGCCAATATTTAAACCTGGCAGTCTGTCTCTCCAGAGAGAGCTGAAGACTGGGTTAAGTGAATAGCAATTATGTTATGAATAGAACCACCTCTGGACATAAAGTGATCCAAGTTCTACTTCCAGCCTTGCCTGGAAACAAATGTGCAATGATGGGCAAATCATTTAACCTCTCTGAGCTTGTATTATATGTGACATTAGCCATCATTAATGTAATTTTTAGAACAAATGGTCTCTTCCATCAAAGGTCTATGATTCAGAATGTAGGATGCATTAGAACTTTTAGCATCATTGTTCATATAGCCAAGATTTTCATGTTTAGACATTAGGAAGTTAGGGCTTTGTATTTTTATTTAAAGAAAAATTTATTGGAGTATAATTGCTTTACAATGCTGTGTTAATTTCTGCTGTACAACAAAGGGGGCTTTTTAATATGACAAAAAAATCCCCCCACGTGTATAGTAATTCACTCTTTTCAAAACACATGGATGTAGAGTCTCAGTAGGACCTCAGAATTCTGGGAAGTCAGTCATAAAAATACATTTGAACAGCTCTTCACAATGATCAATGCATTTTTCGCTCATTTCGGCCCTGCCCCACGCTGTGAAGTAGGCGGGATAGGTAGGCAATGTACCCAATCAGAGGTGAGGAACCTTCCCTCTGCCTTAATAGGTGACTTGCTCAAGGTCATATGTTAATAGGTAGTGGAAACAGCAGTGAAACCGAAAGATCCTAATTCCCAGTCTAGAAATCTTTCCAGAAAGAAATCTGTGTTCTGCAGAGTACTTTGTGCTTCTACATATGTTGGGTCCTCCACAGACCGGAACCTGGACTTAGTGTAGAAGTCTCCAGATGGCAGAAAGATCTCTCCTGTAAGTAAGGACATAACCTGTCTTTATGGAGACCAAGATACCCATCTCCACATGATTGTGGGTTTTTAGGATCACTGCTACAATACAGAGGTTGAAAAAGAAGAGGGCTCTGGAATGAGAGAAACCCTGGTTCTCATCCTCACCTTGGGAAAATCACTTAAAAAATTTTAAACCCTTCTCAAAAATGGGGATGAGGATAACCACCTTGTAGGGAAGCAGTCAGAATTTCCAATAACAGGCAGAGACATCAGGAGGCACTCGATAAATGTAGCAGTGTTAGAAAAAGAAAAAGAAACGGCTCTTTTCTCCAAAAGGCCAGCATGGCAGACAGACCCAGCTTCTGGTTTCACTTGTTTCTCCAGGATGCTGGCTCCGAGAAAGGCAGCAAGCAAAGCAGACAGGTGACTTTAAGTCATGAAACATATATTCTCACCTTGGGCACCTGCTGTTTTTAATGACTAAAATTTTTCCCCCGATACAGCCATCATTTAGCAAATACCAGGGCTAGTTATTAATTTAAAAACATGTTCAGCCTGTGCTTACAGAAACTGCCATTTCCCCCCTCGGGAATGAGTTTTTAGTTATGTTTTTAAAATTAGCTGGCGCTTGAATTTCATTTTCCATCCAAGCTTGCCTGTTATCTGTAAGGTCACAGAAACACGTAGGTGGTGGACAGTCCAATCCTACATATTAGGCTTTTGGAATTAAAAGCCGAAATAAGTAAATAAAGAGAGTGCCCAGGGATTTTTTTTTTTTTTTCCCCAGAGCAGAAAGCCGGTCGCCAGCGAGCGGCAAGAGCCAGTTTTCCTCCTTAAGTGGCTCTTCCCTTACATTTGGAGGTGAAGCCTGAGGAAGAGGAGGAAAAAAGGCCTGTGACCTATATCGTCAAGGTCTGCTTCTCCTCCGCTCAGCAACAGGAAGGAATCAGAATGCATTCTGGAGGAAGAAGAAAAACCCAAGTGCTGATTGTCCCTTTAAGCCATTCCAATCACAGGCTCGCAGTTAAAATAATGCTCACCTACTGCGCTTCCAACTGGGCCATCTACCTTTTTCGCTGGCGGGGTCATGCCCAGTCAAGCCTGATGAGGCTGCCGCCGGCCCCGAGAGCTCGCTGCAGGCCGGCTACACCTGTTTATCACCAAGTCACTTCATTTCCCCTCCCCTCCTCCCCGCTTGAAAAGAAGCATTAATTAAACCGGTAAACAAGCCGGCTCCCATTCTAAATCAGGGCTGCAGGCAACGGAGAGATAACTTGGGCTCCGGAGAAGAGGGATTTTCTGTTAATTTATGGAATCCACCGTCACTCTCTCCGAGCAGCCTGTTCCCCGCTTAACGGGGAAATTGAAGCAGACAGCCTTTGTCTAAACACTTCTTTTGCCCAGAATATCTTAATTTTTCTATTTGAATGTTTAATAAGGTTTGGGGGTGCCGCTGCTGCTTTTAAATTTTTTAATGGTGCAGGCATTTGGGTGTTATCATTTGGCTCGTGGTTGCAGGGTGTCCGTTTTCCTAGGGTGTGGAGGGTGTTTTTTTTTTTCTTTCAAGCTAGTCTCCGACGGCCGGCGAAAGAAGGAGGCTGGGGTCTGGGGGAAGTTTAGGGGGGTCCCGGAAGTCAGGACAGCCCAGCGACACTATGCCTACCTACCCTTTCTTCTTGTATGTTCCTTATGCCCTGGGTTCCTGCAGACGACCCGGGAACGCGGCCCGGGCCCTGGTGAGCGCTGTCTTTCTCTCCCACCGCCTGGAGCACCCACCTCCGGCAGGGCACCCAGCCCGCGCTCGTGCGCCTTGGTCCCGCCTGGGAGGGGTGGGGGGATCCCTCTCCGTCAAAGGGCTGGACCGAGGCTCATTTCCGGCCGCGGCTGCGAGAACCCGGGCTGCCTAATTATTTCTCCAAGAAGGAGGGTGTGCGTGTGTCTTATTTCCCACTGATAATCTGGAATTCCTCAGTTTAAGTGAGAATCACAGTGAAATTGTAGTTTTCATTATAGACAGTCCAAGAAAAAAAAAACCCTCCGTAAATCTTTGTCATTTCCGATGGAAACCTTCGTGAAAACACATAGGAATGTCTTATCCATATTTCAAGTCAGCCTGTTTCTCCGGGTGGCGTATCTAGTAATCATGTTGACAAATTAATGGTAGAGAATTAGTTGTACATTAAAGATTTAAATTATATTATGCAGCACATTGTCATAAAATGATATAAAACAATAGGAAAATAAATGGAAATGAATTCAAGTTACTGACATGTAAAACATCAGACTGACGTCTGTACGACGCGCGCAGCCGCTGGGGTGCAGCGCCGAGCGCCGACGTGGCGGCCCAAGCGCCGGGTTGCGGGCAGCGAGTGCTGCGCGCGGGTCGGCGAGCCAGGGGTTAAGTGGCGCCGATCGCGGCCCTCCCTCGGCTCCCCTCCCCGGCGTGCCGATTTTCAGGCCCGCCGAGCCGCCCAGGAAAAGTTTTCAATTCGACAAGGCCTCAGCGTTTCAGGGGCTGAGCTCCTTAGAAAGCTGCAGGGCCCCCGAGGGCCGACTGACAGGGAGGGGGCGGCCGGCCCCGTTCTGGACACGCTAATTACGAGGATTCGGTTTCCCGGGTCTGAAGGAATGCATTACCTGCAGCCAAGGAGGCACGGCCTCTCAGGAAGGCCCCTAGAGGAAGCTGAATGCCCCAGTGAATTCCAGCCTCATCCCTAGGTTTATACCCACAACCCCAGCCCATGCTGAGAGACTAATCGCTTGGCCATTGTCAGGAGTGTTGTCCAATCAGCCCCTGAATAGCGAAACTTCACAATGCCGAGTATGAATTAGAGGGGAACAAATGTGGATGCAGACTTTTTTTGCAACAATACCTAACTGAGCCTTTCAGACAGGACAACGGATGCACAAAAGCTCGACGGAAATTGGAGTAACTTTTGGAGGCCCTTGTAGCTCCCGTCAATAAGTGTTAGCTCCATAATGGCGGCATGGGCCTCCTCCATCAACCCCCCTTTTCTGTTAGATGGATCAATTGTTGGGGGGGGGGGGCGGGGAATGGTCATAAAAATTGGGCATTTTTGTTTTCCTTGTCTTGGAAACGGTGGCTGTCTGTTGAACGCGGCCAAATGGATTTGTCTCCTTTTTATGTGAATTGTTGGATTTGGTCATTATTTGGCCCACCGTGGTAAAGTACTAACAACGCGCCCTCCCTTCTCTGCCCACCCCCAAAAGAACAGAATAGCTTCTTGAGCTATACAAATGTCAGGTCTCTGTTTTAAAATTTAGCTTTGTTTACCCAACAGAATGGAATTCATTACTGTGTAAAAGTGGTTCCATTTTCTGATCTTTTTATTCAAAATGTTGAGAGTATCAAAAAGCTCATTTGAAGGTCACAGGTTTATGTATCTATTCTGGTAAGTGTTTTAGAAATTCATATGGAGGACAAAAAAGGTGGAAAATGTGAAAACATACTGTTCATTGTTTATCCTAACCTTGCCATGGTTATTAGATAAATGAGTGTAAGGGGGGAAAAATGGCATTAAAAGCCATTGTGAACTGGGATTTTTTTTTTTTCCCCTGAAGACTGTTAATTTTAGCCCTTGATCTGTAAAGGTCAATTTCTAATTCTTTTAACTGTGCAGTTTATATAACTTCTGCATTTCAAGTCTATAAAAAGCTTTTGCAGACTTTTCATAATGTAAGTAGCAATTTATTTCATTACGGTTTGAATTTTTTATGCAATTCCTATGGACGTTTTGATGAAATTGTCAGGCTTAAAAGCTGGAGTGCTTTTCATTTGGGGGTGTGTGGACTTTTTTTTTTTTTGCTCCGATCCGTTCTTGCTGGATAATTTAAAATTAGTGAGATTAATCAGTTCAGTGATGTAAAAAGACCACACTTAGGTTGGAACAAGGTCTGAGGCAAAATCATTTTTATTTTATTTTTTATTAGTAAATGATTTAAAAGGTCTTTTCAGCTAGTTATCCAAAGCCGATATTTAACTGTTACTTATTCCACTAGTTTCTATCTTTTGTGAAAAGAACCTTCCAGCCTAAATCTCCTCGCTCTGTCCCATGCTAATTGCAGCTTACATTATATAAATGGCTTTGTAAAGAAAACTATAACTCGGAGCCTTGAAAGTTGCGTGTTTCTATTTGCTCAAACTTGATGCACTTGTTTGGAGAGGGTCATTGCAGGGAAAGCTGTGTAGCCTGTAAGAATGTCCTGGATAACAAGCTTAAACAGAACCTTTTGTTGTGCTTAGTATTCTCAGGACTCCAAAATGAGGCCTCCTTTTTCTAACTGCGGGCTGAAGTGGTTCATTACTGCTGTTTCCTCCGCCAGGCCAGGACTCAGCCATTCCCACTACTGAAGGTCTGTAACTTCCTTAAAAAGGAAGAAGGAAAACATGGCCCAGAAAGGTCTTGTTAGCACTTCCTATGTGAAATTAGCAGCTTTCTAAAAGGTACAACTCCAATTACCTCACATTGTGGAGGCGAGCACAAACTCAACAATACGCACAGCCTAGCAAGTGACATTCTGTCTTTCTAGAGTTACTTCCCTAATTAGGAATGAAGAAGCTCTATTCTGCTGAGTGCATCTATTTACAGTGGCCACAATGCTTTAACTTGAGCATCCTTCTCAAAGACCAGTGTTAAAAAACACAAGTGCTCTTTTCGCAGAGCTGGGTATGGTGAGGCGACACATTCCTAACGGTTACGCCCTCAGAAGAAAAAAAAAGTGTAGCCGCTTTGGCCGGATTGTTAACACTTCAGGATTCATTTTCCACAATAACACCCCTGCCCAGAGAGCTCTGGGAATTACAGTGGACAATGGGGAGGCATTCTTAGGAGGGTCTAATGATGGAATAAAAAGAAAAATATTTATTGCTTTTGACAGTTCCACAAGGGGCAAAAATCCTTGTCGTGGCTAAAGTTTCCCTAGCTGTTGGAGGAAGGCGGCTCACGGGGACTCCAACAGTCCCCCTTCCTTTGTTAGGAGGCTGAGGACCAGGGCCAAGCTGGGAAATTAAAGATTAAGTTCATTAAGGTAAGATAATTGTGCGGAGGCATTGTTGTTGATACAGGTGGAGCTATGGGGGCTGGGGTAGCAAGCCCACTTACATGGAGGGACAACCCATTAAACAGGCTTAAGGCTAGGCAATGCAACTATGTTTATTATTTGCCTGGTGGCCAACCTGTGCTTTAACTGTTTCATTAGTCAACAGCACCCCCACAAAGGAGGGCCAGGACTCCCTGCTGGGAACCAGGTGGAAAAGAAGGCAAAAAGCAGTTTTTGGAAAGGGAATCCAGTCCTGTGGGCCCTCCTCTCCCTCTGACACCCAACCCCACGTCTAGGTTCCCCTCGGTCCCCATCCTGGCAGGACAGGATGGGCCCTCCCTGAATAGGTAGAAGGGACAGCACCATCCCACCTGAGACATGCCTTTGGGTCTTTCTGCACAGTGAGAGAAGATGTTTGTGCAGAAGAGCACTTTGGATGCCCCTCTGAAAGCAGGCCTCGCACCCTTTCCCCTCAGTACAATCTTGTGATTGAATTTTCAATCTGGGAGTTCAAAGTGCTTTCTTTCCCCAAAGTTAGTATCTCCTCAGAAACCGGCTATTTTGGAAATTTGGGCTGCCTATCTTTCATTATTGTGAAAAACAAAACATCCCCCCCCCTCCATCCTACACACACGCACACACATACTTTCTGCATTGTTATTGCAAACTGTGTTTGTCTTTGTTAAAAAGAACTCCTCCCTGCCCACCCCCTAACTTGGAGACCTGTAAACACCCAAGAACTTTAAAAAGGAAAAAAAAAAAAAAGAGCCTGTCTGGAATTCTTGTGAGCATGGGATCCGTCCCGGCTGTTTGTTTGAAGGAAGAAGGTGCAAACGGAGGTGCTCAGATCATGGTCAGATGGCTGAGCGTGTGTCTGGTGTGGCGGTCAAGAAAATCATTCTCATACAAGTCTCCCCTTTCCCCCAAGTGTCTTGGGCAGAAGGAAAAAGGTCTTCTCTACTTTTGGTGAGATCAGTAGTTCTGTTTCTGGTGAGCAGCTAAGAAATGCAGTTGGAGCTGTCTTTCATAACACACATCCTGAGAAAGAAGCCCTTGTTTATTTGCATGATAAGGTCACTTATGACATAAAAACTCACCAGCTTTCTTTTTTTTTCCCCTCCTGCCCTCCCTCTAGCACCCCTCTGAGGAAAACAAACAGTGTCATAATGATTTTGTTAAATAGAATTCTTGTAAAACCACCTGACCGTGGGGTGGCATTCTGAGAGTACCATAGGATTTAGTGTTGGTGTGTAAAAAAAGGACTTAATTTTAGAAAGGTTTGCATACATATATATATAGAGAGAGAGAGAATATCACATGGTGAGATTTTTCAGAAGTTAAAAATACATGTTTTGATTCCTTTAGGTTCTATAGTGTCGCTGTGCTTCTTCTTGTTATTTTCTTTTAAAGGAAAGGTGACATTAGATTGTTGATTTCCTTGTGCCTACTAGGCATCTGTAGTGTAGAGTGAAATGGAGAGTCTTTTAGTTATTTTCATAGATTATGTCAGCGAAGTTTTTGAATAAAACATTTTCAGTGTAATGTGCTTATCAATTTGGGCAGAACTAGAAATAATTCACAAGCCAGCCAGCCAGCAACATTGACCAACTTCTTGGTGTTTTTCTCCCCTTGTGCTTTATGTCAGGATTTCTTTTTATTTATTTCCATGAGGGTCCTTTGTGCTTAAGAATGTTGAATAGACTTCTTTCAAAAGTTATCAGAGACTGGTCTGAAAAATCAGAGGAGAAATTAGGGACATCTGAGTTATTTTCTAAAATGGGTTAATGAAGAGAGGAGGGTTTGCATTTTCTTTTAAAGACCTAATGAGCAAGCAAAACAGCTGAGGGAGGAAGGCTCGGAGGCTGGTACATTGTGATCTTTCAGAAAGCAGAAAGGAAATTCTGATACAGACCAGATTCCAAACTGTGGCTTACTCGAAGTAAGTTAACTTTCTGAGAACAAGTGAGTAATCACTGGCCTTTCACAAATAAAAATATAGCCTGAAAACCTTGTGCAATGTCCTCAGCACTTAAACATCTATCTCCATAAACAGCTCTTTAACAGAAGAGAAAAACTGTGTTGTCAATAATCAGAAAATATAATATTGCTTCCTAAACCAGTGGAAACTGCATTGATAGTTTCAACCCTGCTGACTTGAGATTGTTAAAACCGTTTCAATAAGAGGCTTTTTCTTGACTGCCTGAAAAAAAGGAAAAAAGCCTGTCATCACATTGTCATATAAAGAGGGAAGCCTGATTTTGGAAATTATTTGTAAGTTTGAGGTTCTTAGGACAAACACCTCGAATTGAGAACTGTGATTAATGATGGTGAAACGACAGGAGTGTTAGGGATGCTGCTGCATTTCTCAGGTGTACTTGGAAGATTTCTCGGATGGAAAAGAAACTCAGAGTTTCTGCACTTGGGCAAACTAAGCTCCATCCTTTCCCTTCCAGCGTGCTGGGAGCTGGAGGAGCAGCAAACCAGGCAGCCAGGGAGGATTCTGAGAAATCCTGTAAATACTTCTTACCAAGCCAAGAGGGCTTTAAATATCTCAGGTTCTTTGTATCACAGTTTCTGGAAATTCTATTGGAACTTTAACATTTCATTTATTTCATAATGATTTTTTTTCAAAAATTCTTCCTTCTCCAAAAATTGTT